AGCCACCGGTCTTCTCTTTAGATCATTACATCATGGACGTGTACGAGAATGCCCCCGCAGGGACCGAGGTGGGCGCAGTCATGGCCCGGGACCCAGACAGCACCGGCAGCGCTATCAGGTAGCAGGGCCCGGCTCAGGTCTGGACTGCGACCTGCAGGGGCGATTCTTGGTGGGGAGCACGAGTGGGGCCATAATTCATACACAGGGACCAACCTTATCATTAGCCAATGAAATGTTTCAAATTGGTGAGTGACAGGAGTAGTGCACTACAAGGGCCAATCAACTTTTAGCTGAGGGCTTTGCCCATGTGGCCCCATCCCTGTTTACTTGTTAACCTGGAGACAGGACCATTTTAAGTCGGGTTGCCAGAGCAGAGATACAAGTACGCAATGAAAGCACACTAAACAGAGAGGAAACTACACACGACACCCAGCCTCCCAGCTCATCGATTACACAGTAGGAGGAAGCAGCAGGCCGGGAGATACAGGCTGCCTCAGAATGGCAGGGAGTGAAGCCACGCCCCCCCACGAGGAAGACATCCTTAATTATCTCTGGCAGCTCTCTGTCTCCGGCTGCCATTTGTTCGGCGAAAGCAGGGAAGGTGCCTATGCTGATTAATCTAATGGACAGACAGCCGGGAGATTGAAGTGTTTCCACTCTGTCCGAAACGACTCAATCAGCACGTGGCCGTCACTGGACTTAATGGAGGCGAGGATGATTGATCCACCTCCCCCAGAGAAAGCCCTCAGAGGCCACAAGGAGACGTTCATGGCCATTTGGGCCACGTAAGCCACCACAACCCGGCCACTACCCTGCACACTTCTAATTGTGGGGGGGGCAGCACAATTTGGTGGAAATAAATGGGGGGGGGGGGGTTCAAAAAAGAGAAGAGGGAGGATTATGACTGACTGGCATGGGGACTTAAAGCTGAATGAATGGATCGCTGGTGAATAAAGGAGCCATCTGCGTATAAATAGCTAGCAGGTGCCCCCCCCTATCCCATCTGTTAGCGATCACGCCAGGCAGACAGCGCCTCCCGCTTGGATCATGTCCACCTGAACCGAGAGGTGAGTGTGCTGGCGGCATCCCCAGGCTGGCAGCGGAGCTCGTAGGAGACGGGCTCCCACCTGCCGCTCTGAACCATCGGGGCTTTGACCCTCTGTGGAGGCCGACGGAAACTTGTAAACAAAGTAGGATGTGGGTAGCATGTAGTCTGGAGGCTCACACTGAAGCCCAAAGATGCTTCTTCACACCTAATGTGAGCTCAGCGGTTGGACCCTTGAGAATAGCCTGAATTACTGCAGTAAAATCTGCAGCTGTTTGAGCTGGGGTGGTGTTGGTGCCTGTGATCGGAAGGCTGCTGGTTCAAATCCCAGGGTCAGCAGAGTGATGTCACCATTGGGCCCCTGAAAAAGGCCCTTAAACCCTTAATGCTCCAAGGACTGGCAAACCCTGCTTTCTCTCACAAATTCGGAACTTTGGATAAAAGTATCTGCTAGTAAAATTAATGTCTCCGGTTTCCCCCAGAGTCCAAAAACATGTTAAGGTGAACATTTGCCAAATTGTATTTGCGTGTGAGAATAGTGTGTTAGTGTTGTGGGTTGGCGCCTTGTCATGTGTTATTTCCTGCCTTGCGCCCATCAATTCTGGGATTGACTCCAGACACCCGCAACCTTGCATAGGACCAGCAGGTATAGAAAATGGATGGATCAAATATTATTGAAAGAAGCCTCAGTGCTATGCCATAAATAAGGATCTTGTATAATACGCCCTGTGTCCTCTGGGTGACCCTGACGGCTAGCTTGTGTATTCTAGCCATAGGCTCCTAGCTCTGCAGCGTTCCTATGTCGGCAGTATGGAGAGTTCCATAAGTGCCGCCTTATACTGTAAACCCCGGGAAATCCACAGAATTCAGATTGCCGCCTGGCAGAATCCTGCCGTTTAAATAAACGTTTCACCATTGACAGAGTCTTGCTGTCACGCGCTGACCAGGCAAGCAGAGGCGAGGAGACGGAGGATCAGGGGAAATGCGGGGTTTAATAAATAAAATGGAACACACACGAGCGGTAAAGCAAAAACGACAATACAATGACCGGACTGGGGAAACAAACGGAAACGCGGACTAAATACAATGGACTAATGACAACGATCAAAAACAGCTGGTAAACACGGGGAATCCACACGAGGTAAATGAGGGGGCGTGGCACACGGGAGGAGCGAACGATCGGGGCAGGACACTTGCCACCGAGGCTGAATAGACTTTGCAGGAAGCATGGTGGTGTCCAACCTGATGGGCCTCGGCTGGACGGCTGCTTCTCTGTGTCACTGCCACGCGTGTAACTTAAACTGTCCCTCCGCTCCCACCCCAGGTATTTTATTGACCGTGACCGGCGTGGTCATGAATACTTCAACATTGACGCCCACAGTGGGGTCATAAAAACCACACAGAGCCTGGACCGCGAAGAGATAGCCTGGCATAACATCACTGTCATGGCCTCGGAGGTTGGTGAGTATATCAAATCTTTTTATATATTACTATTGAAAATGAAATATACAAAAAAAGCGAAGCCCTTCACAACAAAGGCTGTCTGTGGCGGGCGGGCGCTGGGGGGGGGGAGTACGGTGTGTTTACATGAAGTTTGGTTAGAGAGCTATATGTGACCAATCAGGCAACCTGCAGTCAGTCGCAAAGCCACAGAGTGATGCTGAGGGTGGATGTAGCTGGATTGATTTTTCTTGTCTGCTCCTCAGATGTTTATCTAAATAATTACTTGATTCTTAGGGTCTTTTCTTGCAGACCTAATGGCTGATAATGTTGTAAGCGATGTGCATGACTCGTTTCAGAGAGAACCCCCGAGATACCTTTAATGACTGAGCTGAGGCCGGAGGGACAACAAAATACACAATCAGACAAACCGAACGCGCATGATTGGCTCCAGGACAGATCAAGCGGTCTCAGGCTTTTCCGGCTGCAGGTCTACCAAAGTGAACAGGAAATATCAGGAACTCTCCTCTGTCTCAAGCAGGTGTCATTCGGGGGGGGGGGGGTGGCAGAAAAAAAGAAAAGTTTCTTTTTAATGGGGGAGGAAAGTTAGAGTACGGCTGGTGCTCCGACAGCCAAACGAGAGCGATCGTGGCGGGGCGAGCACATAGCGAGAAAATGTCAGCCTAATTGGTGCCACGCCATTAGTTGCCATGGTAATAGTTTGTTACGGAAAGGTCCATACGTGCTGGTCGTTAGCCTTCAGTCCAGCGACAGAGTGGACTCCTAACGACCTCGATGATAGGGCTGCTTGCTTGGCCCCATGATGTCACGGACAGGATGAGAATGTCATGCCTTGGTATTGCAGGGCCAACGGGCGCTATGTAACCGCCCACAGCAAAACTCTAGCTGGTCGCCGAACATAGGGACCTGGTGATGTGTCATTTATTCATAGGAAATGTCACGCTTCCGTTAGCGCCTGGTGGAACGGCGCTAACAGGCCATTGCACCTGGTCAAGCAGCCCCGACGTCTGGGGAACAGGCTACTTTAAGGAGAGTTTTCAGCTCCCGTGACTCTCAGCTGCTTAACAGACTCCCTCTCAAAGCCTACACACCTGTTTGTTGAATGCAAAGTTATGGCAGCATGTGTAAAGCAAAGTCACCTGTAATCTGCATTACGATAGTATCTGCATTTCCCTAATGGTCGAGGGGATCCCCAGTGAATCTAGGATTATTCTGTTCAGTGTGGGACAGGGCCATTGTTGCTGACCAAAGTCAAAGACTGCAGGGAAGCCTGTGAGATTTTCAAATGAGCACATTTCCTGCCTCTGATTGGCTCTCGAGTGGCTCAGGAAGTGATGTCCTTGAACCGGGTGTTACCAGGGAGGTCCAGGGTCATTTTAGTCGAGACATGAGCCCCTGAGCTATTTAAATAGCTTTGGTGGGAAACCATCAGCCCTGGCCATAAAGTCTGAGTGGTACCCATACATTTCCTGCTGTGTGGTGAATAATTTGAGATAACAGAGAGAGAGAGGCAGGTATATATTAGCTCAGATCTTTTCCAGCCTACTTACTGTATGGAGCATATATGATGATACAGCAGGTGACATTGCGGGGCTCCCCAGGGGGCAGCATGACCAGCGGACACAGCAGGATGTCAAACAGCTTTATCATTATTGATTAAAGCAATAGCCTGTCACAGTGGGTCAACTGTGTGGTGCTCTTACACGTTGAACCTGACCTGTTTTCATTACATTACATTTCTTTAGCAACAGGATAGCCACTAGGATTTTATTAGCAGTGCTGCTAACCACTGAAATTTCATTAGCAGTGACGCTAGCCGCTGGGATTTTATTAGCAGCGATGCTAGCTGCTGGGATTTTATTAGCAGCGATGCTATCGTTGATGCTAATTGGTAACATAGGCTGATTGTGTGAGCCGCACAGCTGCTCAGAGTGCCCCCTGTCTTCCCCGTAGATAACCCCAGCCTTGTCAGTCACGTTCCCATCATGGTGCAGGTGCTAGATGTCAACGACAATCCACCGGAGGTCGCCACAGACAGCGAGGTCATCGTGTGCGAGAGCTCCCGGCCTGGTCAGGTGAGGTCAAACTCCACCCTGGTGCCCCCCCTAGCTTTCCAACTCAAGAGTGTCCTCAGAAACCCCCCAGCCACAAACATCACCCACGACGGGCTAGCCATTGCTAATTTGGTTAGCATCTGTGTTGCTCTTCATTTTAATGGGCAGAACAGAGGCTGGTGGATGGAAGGCTCGTTTGTTAGTTCAGGGGGTATTTATAACTATATATATATATATATATACTGCAGCCTGGTTCTTCCCTGTTTCTCATTAATGAAGGGCTTCTTCCTTGCTTTATGGGACTTCAGTCCTGCTTCTAGGAGCCTGATATGAACTGTCCTAGCAGTGCACTTCACACCTGCACTTAATGTTTCCCATTCCTTTTGGTCACTTGATGTCATCCTCTGACTCATGAGGCACTGTTTGATAAGTTTACGGTCATTTCTGGCATTTAGTTGCTTCTTCCATCTTCCAGGCTGGTTTCTGGTCATTCCCAGTATCTCCTGCTTCACCTTGTTCTTGCATACTGCTGTCTTAGAAATTTTGAGCCTGGAAGCAACCTGCTGCTCAGCGTAGCCTTCTGCCAGCAGAACCAGGGTTAAACCAGGACTTAACAATGCAGTTTCTTAAGAAATATGGAGTGATCTCTTATTTTTTTCTAGAGCTGTGTGTGTGTGTGTGTAAGCATTAACACAAGTACTTCTGATTGTTGGGGGTAATTGGCACCCTCTCCTCTGCCAGGATTAATAACTGTACTGTTCCTCACTAACTGCAATTAGCATTCTGCTCAGGTAACATCTGAGGTACTCTGGAATGCAGACCGTCAACCATTATGGATTGCTACTGTTCAAAGAGGACTAAAAGCACCTTAAAAAAAGGGATTTAGCCCAGTACGTCGATTGATGCTGACAGACTCAAGTGACACTGCCAGTCATAGACACACAATCTATATGTGACTCGTAAAACAATGATCTGTGGAAGAAATTTATTCTTTGTGGGTTTTTTTTTCTGATGGGAAAGTTGATTTTATTTTTTTGATTGAGAGTCCGGGGGCTTCTCCAGGCAAACCATCAGAAACAGGAGCTTCCAGATGCAGGAATCATGTCTTACTGATGAAAAACAAGTTACACAGCAGCCATAACTGGCAATAAAAACTTTATTTTTTTTTGTGCGGCTTGGGAACATAACATCCTCCTTAGGCAACCTTTGGCTGACAAGCCAAGAAGGAAAAGCAGTTTTGTGGTACGATGGTATCCATGAAGGCTTTTTTTTCCTCTTTGACACTGGGTGTGAAATCCTCCTTAAGCAGCTGCTACAGAGAGGTGAAAAACACTGATGTCTCTTTTTGTATCTCGCAAGCTGCTGGTGAAAAGTTTTCAGTGGGGAAGTGATGGATTTTGGTGCCCGGCACTGGGAGGGGAGAGACACGGTGGGTGTGAGCAATCAGGCACGGCCCGGGAGGGGGTGAGACGTCCAGCCATGAACTCCATGCATTCTAGTCCCTCTGCTGTCGCCCCCTGCTGGCCAAATATTGTTATCATAGCCAGTCACGTTGGTGACAGATCACAGACCTGGCATTAAACAAAGTGCTCTGCACAAAACCTGCTTAAAGCAGGCAGGGTTGGAGACAAGGGGTGTAAGGCTCACTCTGGTGGCATCTTCTGACAGGTGATCCAGACCATTGGTGCTGTGGACAAGGACGACTTTGCCAACGGATTCCGGTTCTTCTTCTCGTTGCCATCAAACTTGCCCATCAATCCCAACTTCACACTCAGAGACAATGAAGGTATGATGATTCAGATGATGGTGATGATGGTGTTGGTAAGGATGCTGAGGATGACGATGCAGATGATGAGAATGAAGATGACGCTGATCATGGTGGTGACCGTGATAATGCAGATGGTGGTTATAAAATGATGATGGTGATAATGAGGAAAGTGGTGATGATGATATGGAGGATGATGATCCCGATGATGTTGATGAAGATGATGGTGATGATGAGGATGGTAATGATGCCGATGATGATGACAGTGGTGGTGGTGGTGATGATGGTGATGGTCGTGTTGGTGTTGATGATGATGTGGATGCAGGTGACGGTGATTATTATTGTTGTTGCTGTTGTTGGTGTGTTCAGTACTTGAAGTTAAAATCACAGTCCTTATTGGGCTTCAGGAAGAAGCCCGAGTTAAACTGCCTAATTAAACCTCTCGGATGTATATCAAAAGCTTTCTAAAGGACAACAAAACCTTCCCTCTGTCTTAACCATTCCGAGACCCTTTTAGCCACATTATGCAATTATGCAATTCCAGACCCTTCCCCCCGCATTGTACGTGGTACAGCTGGTGTGTGGCATACCACTGATGTCAGGCACCTTATAGTGTGTTTTCTTGCCATGGAAACAACACTGGGTACAGACAAAGCAGGGTATGGCAAGACTCTGTGAGTGCTGAAATGGGGGAGGGGAGTTTCTCCCCAGTCAGGAGGGGGGGCAAATATGATGCCATGTTGGTTTTAAGTCATTCCTTGGAGAAAGACCTTGAGGGACTCAGGCAATTAGAAACAGATCATAAGCTTTGTTTCTTACTCTTTTTCTGGAACAGTAAAGGCTGTCTTCCTCTGAATCGAGGGTCAGTTTGGGTTAGGGTTAGGGTTATTTGCCTTTATTCAAAGTAACATACAGTTCGAGACAGGAGTATTTGGGGATTGATGAAGATAATCACTCTGCCAACTCTGGGATTTGAACCAATGACCTTCCGATCACAGGGCCCTAACCTGCCGAGTCACCGCGGTTACGTGTGCCATGCAGTGAGTCATCTTCCCAGCCCCGTGCTTCCGGAAAGACTGAATGATGGACAGTCCTCCGGAGCCACCTTTCCGAGGTTTATTACTCGCCGGGAAATGCAGTCGCAGAAAAGGCTGGCATTGCCTGCCAGCCACCAGCACGCCGTCCTCCCCGGCATCTCTACCGTGATCCATCTTGCAGAGGGTTACTTTGCCTGCCTGTCGTTTCCGTCCATAATCAGTGATTGATCGTGTTTTTATTACCCGCTCGGGTGCCACGTTTCAGCCATTTATTGTGTTTCTGAAACCCGCCACGTATCGACGGAAACATAACGCAGTATCGACCTTTGGCTGGACCTCCGGCGACTCACCCCCCACCTCCCCCCCACCATCCACATCCTGGCTCCTTCCCTCTAAACAGACTGCAGCTTAATTCCCTCCAAAAGCAGCCCCCTATTCTAGCCCACCCCAGTTAAACAACTGAGCCTGAAAAGGGGGGGGGTGCTATTGGCAGAATCCTCTGTGTGTTTCAAAATGGGGCTTTGGAGAAAGACCCTGTAAATGTACCAATAGAAGTCGGAGAAGTGCATTGTGGGATGTGGATGACAATTCCGCAACTCCTCTGAAGGGAAAAATCGGCTTGGCGAATCACCCCCCCCCGCCCACACACTCACAACTTTTTTCACACTACAAGGGGTGTGTTGCACTGGTATGTGTTTGTCTTTGTCTGGTATGAGCTGGTCTTGAGGGCCCCTGGTGGTCATGGAGTGAAGTGTTTGGCTGTCTGTACTTCTGTTTTCGCATGAGTATGACTTGGGACTGAATTTTGGGGTCATGTTTGTTTGCCAGTGCCTGGTTGAAATGAGGTTATCTGATTGGTTGATTTATGTCCCGCCCCCCAGACAACACAGCAAGCATTGTGGCACGGCGCCGACGGTTCAGCCGCACGAGCCAGGAGTTGTACCGTCTGGCGGTGGTGGTGCGGGACAGCGGTGAGCCGGCGCTGAGCAGCACGGGGACGCTGACACTGCGCGTGTGTGCCTGCGGGGGCACTAGCGGGTCGGCGCGGACCTGCCAGACTGGGGCCTTCCTGTCATCAGCCGGCCTCAGCACCGGGGCGCTCATCGCCATCCTGCTCTGCGTCGCCATCCTGCTGGGTAAGGCGGCACACGGACATGCACTGCTCCGCCTCGCATTCGGAATCTTCCGATGTGACCAAGCCAAACAGGCGGGAGCCACAATATCCCATCCCCTCTTTGTTATGTGAAATGCCACTCTGACTCGGCTACAAGTGTGTAATTTCAGCCCGTTTGCATAAAAGGAAACAACATTAAAGTAATTCTCGGTTGCTCCGGCCAATCAGAACAAAGGGATATTTCAAACATGTAATTGTATTCCAAAGCATGCGCCCCCTACCCCCGCCCCGGGTATCAAGCGGGCGGGAACATCAATGTCACGTTTGATCAGCGGATTGCAATTTTTGTGAGCTGCCAGAATACAACTGAGGCCTGTTATGATGAAATTACAGCTTGCCGTTGAGGTCGACCCCCCCCCCCCCCCACAACGTCTGTGTGTGGAGGTGAGGGGGGGGCATGGCGGCAGAGGCAGGGGGCTGAGAGATCACCAGCATGATCGCGGAGCTGAGACGGCTGGGGAGCCAGAGGACTCACTCCAGAAATAACAGTTTAAGGAGCGTCTGCTTCTTTCGGCATCTGAACAGTGGCTAGTGAGACGCTTTCCAGACTCCTCTGTGAGTCAGTCTCGCTTCATCCTCCCTGGCATGGACACGGCGCCCCCACCACGCAGGCAAAGTGATTGTGGGAGAGGGTTATGCTGTCTTCTCATGCTTTTGTGCTGGTTTTTTATTAAATAACTGTTTCATAGGTGCCTTTTTTCTTTTTTAAACAGCCCCAGATTGTTTTTTTTTTAAGTCTGCTGTCTGCAAAACATCCCCCAGTCAACAGATGGCTGATAAGAGCCGTTATCAGAGGCCACCGCGACTCTGCCTGGCCTCTTCATTAAAGGGACGCCGAGCACTTCCCGTCCAGCCACGCCGACACTAATGGCCCCATCCCTTTAAGTGCCGTGAAGAACCAACTCACTTGCGCTGGCCCCTCCTGTCTTTATTTAAGCTTGAAATGCTGTGGGTGATGGATCTGGTTAGATTTGCTCATTGTGACCGCGTTTAGGTCGGGTATGAGCTTTATGCAGCATTTTACTGTGTTTTCCACGCTATTTTGCTGCCATAGCATCACACCTGGACCCCCCACAACCCTGCATAGGATAAGCGATTACCAAAGATGGAGGGATGGAGAGATGGATAGGTGGATGGATGGATGAATGGATTCATTCACAAACAAATTTAGAAATGTCTTGCGCTAGTACAGACGCTCAACTTGAGAATGAGATATGTTCCGCATGGCCGTTTGCATCATCATCATTTTTTATAACCTTCATTTCAACATCATTTTAAGGGTATGCGCAAGTACACATGACTAGTATGCTGGGAGTACGTACACTACACTGCTGTGGGTTGGGAGTAGTGGCCAGAAGTCGTACTAGCCGGTGGGGGGGAGTCCCCCTAAAAGCCTCAAAAGCAAAATTATATATATATATATATATAATAATATATATTAGGACTGCACAATTAATTGTAAAAAATGCAATCTCGATTCACACCTCTATACAATCTCATTTCTAAATTACAGCGGTGCATTATATTGCATCAGCTAGATCAAGTCAAAACTACTTTTCCCCCAAAAGTCTCAAGCGTTCCACAATTCTTACTTTTGGTACTTCAAGAAAGTATGAAAAGTAAGGTACTTCAAAGGTGTTGGTTTTCCACTGGCACTGGTGCTGAATGACGCAAGGCAGGGTATTTTGTACTGAATTCGAATAATGGCTGTAGTGTATTACAGTATAGGGCTGGACAATGTGCAACATTAATACCAGCATCACATGTTGTGCATATTCAATTCTTGCTTCCCCAATCAGCTAGATTAAGATCAGGCCATTTCTTACCTTCAGTCTGGTATGGATATTATAGCGCATGGAGTTTAAGTCTCGCTAAAACATTTTTACTCAGTCATAGGGAAAAAATGTAGAAAGTCTTGCAATTTTAATGATTATTCCTTTTCAAGATCTGGATATCTAGTATATGTTTAAAAATCAGTTTAAAGTTTTACCTCCACTGCTTTTGCCTGAGCAGTGCATGCATTCCTGAGACAATCATAATCATTTTCATCGTTGCTGTTGAAATCACTCCTAGACGGGTTTGTGAGAAATTTATGTTGAACTCCTCTTTTGTTTCATAAATACCCCAAAATTTATTACAACAAAATCACTTTGCAATACTTAGAAATTTTCCAATACTGTGCTGTCATAGTATATTATACAAAATACTTTATTTCTTGTTATGCTTTCCTGATCTCTGTTTTTTCCGACCAGATTGCAGTTAAAGCTTGGGTCACTTAATTTGTCCATGCATCCATTATTTTATTTTATTTTATTTTGTATTATTATTATTATTATTATTATTATTAACCTATTTATCATTGTTTTCCAGGTGGCGATTGTATTGTGTGTCAGAGCCAGGCTATTTACATAACAATTTGCGATTGACAAAGAAAGCCTTTCATGTCCCACCCCAAACCACTGAAGTACTAAAAAACGTACCCCAGCTGGTTTGGCTGTTTTGGTTACCCTAATTGAAGAGTCAATTGAACGTTTCCTTTCTGTTGTCAGGAGTTGACATGCTGGTCCTAGATCAATCATATGTTAGCCACAATCATGTTTTGTTGTGCAGTTTAATGAGTGCAATAAACATTTAAATTTGAGAAAAAAATATTGTTACAGACTATCGTGATCTCAATTCTAAGCAAAAAAAAAATTGTGATTTACATTTTTTTCAGAATTGCGCAGCCCTAGCTAAGGAGCAAGCTACCGATTTTCTTTACCTTTTCTGAAGTGTTTACAATATCCATCCCTCTGCTGAGCTGGTGTGACTGGCATTAGCACAAAAAGACTTCCACCAGTAAATTTTAATTGCTGAAATGCGGCATTTTTTCCAGCAATAACCGCGAGCAATGTTCCGCACAGTATTCCTACATTCCCAGCATTCCCGTGACGCCTGTCTCTCTGCCGCCCACAGCCATCGTTGTGCTCTTCACAGCGCTCCGCAAGGGCAAGAAGGAACCGCTGATTGTCTCGGAGGAGGACGTGCGGGAAAACGTGGTGACGTATGACGACGAGGGCGGTGGCGAGGAGGACACAGAGGCCTTCGACATCCTGGCCCTGCGGAACCCGGCCGGCGCCGAGGAACTCAAGATCCGCAGGGACGTGCAGCCCGAGCGGGTATGGCGGGCGGTGGCGCGGGGGTCCCCCAGTCCCCCCGGCCGCGTGGCAGACACAGTGGATGTGTGCGCCATCCTCTCCCGCCGCCTGGAGGAGGCTGATAACGACACCAGCGTACCGCCATACGACTCCCTGCAGACGTACGCCTACGAGGGCCAGGGCTCGCCCTCCGAATCCATCAGCTCGCTGGGCTCGCTGGCCCCGCCCTCGGACCTGGATTATAGCCACCTGGACCAATGGGGACCCGAGTTTCAGAAACTGGCGGAACTGTATGGAGAAGACCAGCTGGATGGCGCCCCCTAGCGTGCGTCGCTGTACGAGCACCCCCACCCCCCACCGCTGTTTAAAATAAAGAGAGAGCCTTTGCACCACTGGCCGCCATGCCCATTTACTGTAAAAACAACAAACTGTCCTTTTTTTTCCAACTGGGGTTAGAGGAGTGGGTTCAGATTTTCAAACAGGAATGAGAAAAATAATTGCGATTCTGGGAAAAAAAAAGATATTTTCCGTGGTGTATATTTTTTATTGGTCAATAAAGTCTGTAAATTCCATAGAACTGGTGAAATGTGATGCAAGGAGTAAATAATGGACCCCCCCACCCCACCCCCTTTGTGAGCTGGTGATAAGTGATAGATAGTAAGAGAATGAAGGTTAGGGAATGAAACGGCGATGATGGGAATAAGGAAATTTGTTCCACGTTGCGTAAAAAAGATCACATTCAGATTTCAGTGACGAATTAACTGGATTTATGTTGTCCTGATGCTGTCCTGTAGGCACATATACTAGGGGTGGATTGAGCAAGCAGAATTCTCCGTGTGTGTAGTGAGAATATTCTGACTACAGCCACTAGGGGTCACAGTGGTTAAAGAGTCTGATTGATTAGTGCAATGGGTTCGACTTGAGGGTAGTCTGTGACTATCTGAAGGGAAACTGGAATCTGGTGGAGATGGTGGTGATGATGATGATGATGATGATGATGATGATGATGATGATTATTGTTGTTTGTCAGTGGCTTTGCTGTCCTGATCAGTTAATTACGTCCCCAGTTCACAACCCAAGAAGCACTGATATCCGTGACTGTGTGGTAAGTTTGTTTGGTGGAGCTGAGAACAGAATCGATTTCCGGATAATTAAGCAACTCGCTGAAACGTGTCGGGGATGCTAGTCTCTTTTTTTTTTATTCATTCTCTCATCCCCTTCTGATTAATTCACATACCTGCCTTTTTATGCAGATCTTTTCCCGGGGATGAAACTCACAGAAAGAAGTGTGACCCCCCCCTCCCAAGACACCAGCAGTGAGTTATAACTTTCACTATCTGTCCATCCACCTCCTCTGTAACCACTGCAGATCTCCAAACAGGGGACCAGGACTTTTCCAGCTACCATTCGGCATTAATTTTGTTATTTTGTTTTGGTTTTTTTTGGGTGGTGTTGTTCAGTTATTTATACACACACCCTTTCCCCATGTGCTTGATGCCTGAATATTCTGCATGAATTATTATTCAGCCTGTCAGTCTAGAGCTGGAAGAGTGAGATGAGACATTTCTGTGTGTGTGTGTGTGGGGGGGGGGGTTAGGTTTCTATTACATAGTAGGGACCAAATGGCCCCTACATTGTAATAAAAACCTGTTTTTTGGCAATGTGGGGACCATTTTTCAGGTCCACGCAAAGATCTGCGAATCCATTCCAAAAAGTAAAAATTTTGTTTGGTTACTTTTGGTTAAGCTTAGGGCTGGGTAGGGATTACGGGTGTCATGTTGGGATTAGAGTTTTCCCCAGGGAAATGAATAGTCCCCACAAAGATATAATTACAAAGCTGTGTGTGTGTGTGTGTGTGTGTGTGCGCGTGTTGCTGTTTCCCTAATACTGGTGTTATAAACCTTGTCTAGGTGCATGTGTGTGTCACTCCCCAGAGTAATAGTGATGTTCACCACATTTACTCCTGGCCGATGTGATCCTGAGGCCCTCGCAAATAAGTGTGACCCAGCATTGATACGGCTGGTGTTACGCGGTGCTTAACCACAGCCAGGCCGGTAACCAACACCGGGAGGCGCTCTCGTGATCCTCTCATCCATCCATCAGACCCCAGAAAGAAGCCCCACACAGAGAAGCTGAGATTGGTGAGTACTCAGAAAATGGGGAGGGCGGCGGGCTGGTTTCTACTGGAACACAGGTGAAAGTGACTAAAGCTTAACTGCAGTCCAGTTACGGAGCCCACAACTGGCATAAACTGACTTACGCTGAAACTGACTTACGCTGAAACGCTACGCAGTACTTTTTCTAACTGACTCCTTTTGCACCCTCTCTCCCAGTATCCTCAGTGAGTGTACAATAAGCCTTATTGCTGTGCTGTGATTGGTCACTACAAGTGGGCGGGGATTTGGAGCACTGGGGGGGGGGGGGGCAGTCTCAGATCCAACTCTGGCGACCTGCCTGACTAAACAGTCTAATTGATCCTTTTGTATGCTCCGACGTATTTCATTATAGGTGATTAAAAACCCCATTACGGCAGCGGGTCGGTTAGGGGATAATAAATCTGCATCTAAGTAGCCCCCCCCCCCCCGTGCACTGGGGGCCTGAGATGACAAACTGGGATCAGCCCCTTGTCAGCGGGAAGCGAGAGCTGTTCACGCAAGCCGGCATGGGATGGGAACAGGGCGTGCATCAGTATGCGTATCCAGATCACGGATGATTTATTCATGGCGGAAAAAGGCTTTTGGCCACAAACACACCACTGTTCAGTCTGGCCCATAATGCAGCTGCCCTTGGCATCTCCAAGTGCCACACGCAGCCTGTTAGACATTGTAATCCCTGTGCTGGGGGTCCGTGTGAAAAGTTGAGTTGTCTTTATCTTGCTGAATTCAGTTCCATTTAATTTACACATGTGGCTCTGTGTCTGGATCACTTGAGATTTCGTGTTTGCGTGAGTCTGCTCTATATCGTCACACAGCTAATTAAGTCCGAGCAGGTCATTTTCAAAGCTTTGCCCTGCTCTCATCATCTCTGTGAAAACAGCTTTCCTTCCTGTTTTCCCCGAGTTTCCCAACACTGGAAAACTATGTACACCAAACCAAAGGACGTAGAGTGCTTGTGATGAATATATAGCTGATTTATTGTCAGGAATGACTTTCTTATTGGAATCTGACTGTCCTTTGATTAAAATAGAATTCACAGATCGACGATAAACAAAGACGCGGATGGAAACGTCTCATTTTCTGCTGTAGGGAGACGGTAAAGCAGGTGGCAGACGGCAGTCTGACACCATAAATGATTCAGCAGCCCTTGAATCATAAACGACCGTCACCGCTTATTCTCCTGCCTCCAGAAGCCTCAAGGACTCATCAGAAATGACAGGCATTAAACATTCATCCTTCTAATAGACGATAGCGAACGCCTCTCGGGGGCCCTGTCCTTTTTCGGGCTTGTCGCCATGGTGTTCTGCGGAGTTCTCGGCCATTCAGGATGCGCAGAACAGCAGAGCCCATTATGCAAATATCTAGTTTTGCGATTAAGCTTTCAGAAGGTTGTTGGTTCAAAACCAGTCCTTGGCAGAATAGTGACATTGCCACGGGGTCCTTAACAAACACCCTGCCTTAGGCATAGTGATTTCAGGGATGTGGAAATTTGTTGGAGGGGCTATTGGCAGCTAAATCTGCCAAACTTCTTGCTGATGGTTTCCTCTTTGCCAGACTTCTTGCCACCAAATGAAACTGCTGCTGAATAGCGGAAAGAGCTGCTGTCAATCTGCTTTTCAGAAGAGGTAGGATTTCTGCTGGAAGGCTCTCACCCCCCCCCAAAAAAAAAAATCCCCCTGGGGATTTATATATGTGTGTGTGTGTGTGTGTGTGTGTGTGCGAGCGGGTTTACCTATCCTTATGGGGACATAATGTCCCCACAACGTGATATATATCCGTTTTTTTTTTCCCTTATGGGGACCGGTTTCCTGGTCCCCATAAGGGAAAACTCTATTTTATAAAAATCGGTGACTGTTATGAAAAAACTAAAAATGCAAAAACTCTTGTATTTTGTTAGGTTACTTATGGTTATGATTAGGGCAGGGTAGGATTAGGGTTAGGGTAAGGGTTAGCATTTTTCCCATTGAAATGAATGAGCGGTCCCCATAAGGATATGTTTACCCTACATGTGCGTGTGTGTGTGTGTGTATATATGTCTGGATTAGGTTGTGTATGTGTTGTGTTTGCACGTTTGTACGTTTATACATGTGTCTGATGTGTCTGGAAGCCGTTTGGCAGCTCAGTGGAGACCTGCTGTGTCATCCTCATAACTATGGATCTCCTGCCTTTACGGGCTTCGGGGTTCAAAGTCCTGTAGGCATTTAAGGTTAGTAAAGAGAGGAATTAAAAGCTGATGAAAGGCTTTCAGTGCCTTCGTCTGCAGCTTGCCTGAGAAGCGCTGAAATGGAAATAAAGGAGTTGGCCAGAGAGATGTTGCTTTTATCTATCAACATTTTAATCCCAAGCAACAGAGTATTTTGTTGCAAGGGCTTAGAATAAAAAAAAAAAGACAAGATGTTCCAAGCAACAAATCATGTTTTTAACTGAGGTTTTGCTTGTGAAATGTAATGGGGAAAAAACAAAGAATGAAAGTTCCATTTAAGCTGCAGAACAGTAGAGAGCGAGCGGCTCCGTGTACTTAGTTCCTCATGTCTAAGGCAGACGTCAAAGAGCCGAGTTTATTTTCTTATAACCCAGATCTGAGTGTCGTGGGGAGCCTGTTTTTGCCCTGTGGGACCTGGTGTATGAGGAGATGATAGCATGACGTCCTGGAAATAGCTTGTTACTCCCCTAGCTGGATGGGGGAGAGAGGAACATTTTGGAGAATTAAAGCCTCGTCTGGGATGAGAGGGACCGTCCTGCCAACTACCGTGGGACAGCTGTCCAATTGGGAGATGATCACATGCTGGACCTGAAGCACACATGGACATGAGCAGCGGTGAAACGGTCGGATCTTCAGACCCACAGGAGGTGGATGGAGCATGGAATGAGGCGGTTTTAGTATCACCCTTATTAGTGAGCTCAGCAGAGGGGCTGCAAAATTACTATAATGTTTTCACTTTTTTTTCCTTCGTTGCTGATGCATAGCATGGGAAAGGGCACATTTCAGAGAGGTACCATAAAATAGCTGAGTTTGTCATGAATGCACGCTTCTGCTGACCTCGAGTAGAAACAGTGCAGGTCCCAGCACCTTCTGCTTGGAGACAATTATGACAACAGATCCAGCATTAGATCTTAGGTGATCTGAGCTGTGTGGAAGATAGGAAGGAGATCACGATAACAGAGATGGAACATAAAGGGATCTGGATCCAGTAAGTGATGCATGAGAGGAACAATGATCTTTGAGGAGACAGGTTCTTGGCGAATGCAGTGATAGCATCCAGTTTCTATGGCGTCGGTCTCCATGGCTACATCAGTTCAACACCATTAATTCTGCTTGTCCAAACATTTGTATGCTAGAATCTCTGTGTCAATCAGGTGCTGTCTAGGTGAGCCTCTGAAACTGTCATGACTTAATATTTGTCTTTTTTTGTTTTAATTTTAATAAACTTCATATTCTGGTTGCTACTGTCAGAAAATCATGTTTATTCTGTTGTTTTTGCAGTGCCAGTCAAAGGTTTGAACACACCTACCGAAGTTGGAATGTCTTCTTGTATATATATATATATATATATATATATATATATTTTTTTTTTTTTTTTTATTGCGTAGTTTAAGTTTAATTCAACTGTATGCAATTCTAGACTGTACATTCACTATCTGGTAGAAATAATGTGACCTAAATGGAATTCTTTTAGGGATACATGGAACCATTCCCTGCTTGTACCAGGGAATTCCCAGACTGACCCAGCATGATTCTGGGGATCAGGGGATTTGGCCTGAAACAGAATTTAATTTCTCTGTAATGGGGTCCCCAGCCCTGCCCCCAATGGACTGGTAATCCATTCAGGTTGTGATACCACCTAAGTTCTCGACTGCACTAATTATTTCTCTAATTGAACTATTGCAGTCTTCTGCCACACCACTAAGGTCATTAGCTACCTAAAGAGAGGGAGGCCCCATAAATCCAGTGTGCAGTGCCAGGATGGGTGACGGAGTGTGCCGTCACACCCCTCGCCAATGCAAACACCCTACCCCATCACCAGGGTGAGAAGGATTTCAGGAAAAGCCTCTTGGGACGCAGCCAATGTAGGATTGCGGCTAATCCGCACGACAGCCATTAGTGGGACATTTGGGCGTGGATGTGCGACGTGTTTTGGGCTTGGCCTTGCATATTCGGCCGTAATTCGCATGCCCCGCTTTTCCGTGTTTGCCTTACGAGGCGGGAGATGAATTGCGACTGGCCTGATCTCGAATCCTGGCCCAGTGCGTCCTGCCAAGCGGCAGCGGGGTGTGATCGATGGCAGCCCGTCTCCATAAATCAGCTTAAGCACGAACAAAGCCAGACTTTAAAGTGCGCCATCTTTGCGTATGTATTATTTTTTATTTTTTTGTCTCTTGTCCTGCTGTAATTGCTGGTGTCATTTAGCGAAAGGACAGTTATGAAGCAAAGATAATTGGGCCCACGTTTTTTGCCTTTTTGCGTTGCCTTTTAAGATCAGTGCTGGTCAGGGCAGTGTCTGTACGTCTGGAACTGCAACGTGACGTGCGTCTCTATTTAACTAAATCGATATGTGTGTCGGGGGGGGGTTGCTATTTAACAACCACCCCCCCCCCAGCCCCCAGCCTTTGGGCGGGCGTCATTTACAAATGAGGAAATCCTGCACATTTGCATTAACGATCCGCCAAGATCGACCGGCTCTGATCGTCAGAACGCCGCTGAAATGAATCAGCCGCGTTGCTTTTTAACTCATCTATGGCGAGGAAGAAAGATCCACTGTCCATCCAGGGACATATATTGAATTCATTTATTAACAAAAGTGTGGCGTTAATTACACAGACAGGCTTGTCACAGCTACGCTTTGAAAAGCATCATAAAAAGCGATGAAAAACAGTGAAATCTACCCGAATAACGGAGTTTGAAAGGTATGCTTGTAATGGGAGCGGACGTTGCATTTGACGTGGTTATTATCTAGCCGACGTGCATTTCTGTGTATCGCAGTAGCATGACTCTCTTCCCGGTAAGTGGTTTGTAAAATGGATAGATGGATCGTATCTGCCTGGCGGCCGTGACCATCATTTTTATTTCATTATTTTCTTTCTGTTTTATATTTTTTTTACCTTAGTTAAGTGGCCGCTGAAGCACTGTGGAATGTAGCGATGATTTATAAAAGGTGAGTTTTTTTTTCTTGAAAAACAAAACGTATCTGCATGGAATTAAAGGGGAATTAGCTGGTAGCATGAGATAATTAGCAGCTGAGGTGAGGGAGATAATTAGCAGTCATGTGACTCTTTGGCTGGTGCCGCTGAGTAACAGGTGAGGTGACCAAGGGGGAGGGGCGGACGGGGGTTATCGAGACTCCCGCTGTTCCCAGACGCTGTCCCCAGACGCTGTCCCCCGCGGTCTTAACAATGGAAGATTCGATGTAAACAGCAACTCGGGCGAGAATCGGGAAGGTCGGTCAGGATAAGGAGGTGCAGCTTTTAATATTTTAATTCAAGGACCCGTGTGGAACCGTGGAGATAAGAGGATTAAACGGCAAATGTGATCCAGCGGCTGGGAGAGCAGCAACGCAGTTCCTAGGCCCACTGACCTTGGGATTCTGGTTTCTGTAAGCAGGTATGGGGGTCCGGCTGGATTATCCGTTTTGTTTAGCAATCAGCAGTCTGAGTCCTGGGCAGGGACGTGGAAGGAGCTTCAGGTAAGCGCCGGAATACTTTGCAAAACTCTTAAGGACAGGATTTCTCACGGTCCTGAGCAAATGCGGACACACTTTGTAGCTGATAACTCACTGTTTCTTCTTTTTTTTTTTTTTTTTGTTAATCCCTTATTCTTTTGGGAATTACCTGGTACCAGGTGGGAGAAAGAGTCTCAAACGTGCGACTGAAGGTATCAGACGGTGTGGGGAAATCGGCCCTTTTCCACACATGGGGAGACACGACTGGTGAAGGATCTCAGACACGACACTCAGAGAATCCCGCCAGAACAGGGACGGGCTTTTTAGTGCCGACTGGGGCGGGGAGCGTGGTGAAGGTCAGGGTTCACGGGAACTTTCCACTACAGGTTTAATGGCAGATTAGCTGTCGTCACCATTAACCACCCAGGTTGCTGGTGGACTCCTGACTGCTTTTCCCCGCCTTCTCCACTGCCGTTCAGTCACATTTTATTATGCAGAAGCTATTCACGTCACGGGCTACATTGCTGATATTATCTCAATTAATCAAGCACTATTGAGAAAGTCATTCTCTTTTTCTGTGCCTTAGGTCCTGTTTCCATTAGAGTTTTTGAGAGCGACATTGAGAGTCATAATACAACAGCTAGTCAATACCTAATGTGACAGCAGCTGCTGATTACAATTAGGCAAATTATGGACTAGGGAATGGGCATTTTGAATGGGAATCTTGCTGACTGTACAAGGAACAGGGTAGGAAATGTTCTGTGTGGAGAGAACGGACAGGAATCAAAGGAGGTATCCTAAACAATGTTTAAAATTCATCTGGAACTCTGGTTCCATATCCAGGCTTGTTTTTCAAGATTGTCCTCAAATATTTTCCAGGCTGACAAGGTATGTTTTGGACTATGCCAGTGACTGCATAGAATTAAATAATTCAATCAGAAAAGATGGTTTAATATAAAAGTATTCCTTCTGGTAGGATGGGGGGGGGGGAGGTGCAGTGATTATTATAAAAATGTCTTATAAGTTTCTCTTGAAGTTTTAATAGAAATGGGGCTTACGTATTTTTACTTAAAATAGCATTATGCTCTTCCCAGTAACACCAGTAGCTGAGACAGGAGTGGTAAGTGAAGTGTTGGTTTGTGGTCAGCCACACCCGCAAAATCTGAAAGGTCACTTTTTTATTGTTTTTTCATGTCTGCGATATGTTATCGACATTACCTTAACTAACATACCTTTGGAGGTGGCCACATCTGCTCAGCGTCTCTCTGATATTCTTGCTTCCTTTCCAGCAGCTGTGTAGCCGAGAAGGTTCTGTATGGTCTTCGGGCACTGGAGGTGCAGGCGCCGGGTCACAGTTCGGCCAGCTGACGAGGTCACTTGTATATCTGGTGAGGAGCGAAAGCTCACGCATGGTGAGGTGAGGCACAAGAGCAGCGCTGTAGCCTGAATACGGATCCACTTCACGTCAGACCATCACAGACAGAAGCCACTTAAACTTTAATGATCCTCGTCTCAGTCCGCCTCTGTCTCTCTCTTCCTCAGCGTGCAGCCTGCTCCCGGCTCCATTGGTGCTGATCCGGTCCTGAATACAGATACGGTGCCCCTTCTGGCCGTTTCGGGTGAGGATGCTCTGTAACCACGCCCACCGTGTTGCCACCGAAGCCGAGAACAGCTGGGTGTAGTTGCTTTCCGAGTGTCGTCGCACCCCTCCGTAGGCAGAAGAACACCGAACATAACCTGGAAAAATGTACAGACGGTCCCTTGAGCAATTCAGGATTAAGGGCCTTGCTCATTGATGACATCACTCAGCCGGCCCTGGGATGATTCAAACCGGTGACCTTCCAATCACAGACACGGCATCCTAACCCGCTGAGCCACGCCAATACAAAAAAAGACAAAAAAAATAAAAAATGAAAAACAAGCAGCACGCAGATAAATGCAGAACACATACAGTCCTGAGCATTCCGGAATGAAACGGACATACGGTTCGGTCACATTTCAAGAAAAACAGATTTCAAAGAGCTCAAAGGCCACCCCTTTGCCCAAAAAATGAATCAAGAACGGGTTGATAAACACGGCTGTCACTTTCACGAAGCACGGTTTTATCTCCAGCATGGATTTCTTTAACCAAGATGATTACTGCACAATATGCTGCTGGCTCGGTAGTAAATCGCAGAATCGTTACTGAATCATTAAAAGACACATACAGGCAGGTCACCCATTCTTTTGGCATCGAGTTCAGGCAAGGCTGGACTAGCCATTTGACACACTGGGCATTTCCCCAGTGGGTTGATGGGTTTGTGGGTGGGCAAAATTTATCGGACCCCCCCCCTCTATTCCCCCCAAATCAACAAAATGCATCGTGGCCGTGGCCCCAAAACCTGATCAGCAAAATTTACTGAGACCATGTTTGTTGACAGAGCTGATTTTTAATTCCAGTCAAGCCAGGAGTTTTGGAGTCCTTGAAGGCAAAGACCCGTAACCCTTGGCGAAGCATCGTCGCCAGGGCAACCAGGCACATGACCTAGCCTTACGGATGCCCCATAATTGTAATGCATTACTGCAGATGATATTCAGCCTGAACATGCACGATCTGCTCGGAATAGATGAAGTGCTTTGCTAAGGAGCACAATAACTGCACCCATCTCGGGACAACTTTCAGGTGCACTTATCTTGTGGTCTTGGTTGAATCAGGTGACTTTAAAGTTACACCTTCTAACAGCAGCTCCGCCAGAGTGGGTGAGGGGGAGGGGGGGGCATGTTTTATGTTTATCTTTGCTGATACTGCACGCTGACTGGCTGTTGATTTGCACCTCCTTTTCCACAACACACCTCCCTGATAACAGCTTCCCTGCTCATCTCCATGGCAGTTGACAGTGCCGGTTCTGTTTGTGTACAGTGGAGAGCAGTCAATATGCCCACGGTTCCATTCGCCGGGATTCATGCCTGACAGATTGCTTTGGCATATGTGCGATTTATCAGGTGCTAAATAATTTAGTCTGGTTAAAATATTTACAGAGTGGGAATCCATTCAAAGTAAAGGAACAAGGAACTAGAAAATACAAATATCAGCGGCGATAAGGACCAGTCTGGCCTCATGACCAGTTAACAAAATTTCCATAATGTTCTCCTGGGATCAATAAAGTTCATGTTATCTCAAAATATGTGCTGTTTACTCATTTAATGCTCATTTCCCATCCTTATACACATTCCCACAGCTTCTGATCTCCAGCTAAGCAGTGACTCGCAGTACCTGCACTGTCCTGGTGGGGTTTCCTCTTATACAGTGTTGTCACTTCCTGTTTGGTTGTACCTCAGGGATCCATGCTTGGTCTGCTCTTTTTTTGGGGAGGTGTGTGGGGGGGGGGGGGGCTCAGTCTGTGATCTCCACATTTCCAGCTACAGAATTCTTTCAAAAGCCTCCTAAAAAAAGTCCAGCATCATCCTTACAGGAAGCCCTAGATCCTCCTTGGTGAGCAATACACACAATATAATGCAATACTGATAAGAACATAAAGAATTTACAAACGATTCGGCCCATCAAGCTCAATTGGGGAGAACTGAACTAATTGCTCACAGTTGTTAAAATCTTATCTAGCTCTGAAAGGAACCCAGGGTTTTAGCTTCCGCTACACTAGCAGGAAGACTATTCCATACTTTAACTACGTGCTGTGTAAAGAAGCGCTCCCTCAAATTAATTTAAAAATTCTCCCGCTAATTTCCAATTATGGCCACAAGTTCTAGTATTAAACTAATATTGAAGTAACCATTTGGCTGAACAGCATCCAGACCTGTTAGAATCTTATATCCCTGGATCATGTCCCCCCTTAAACTCCTTTGCACGAGGCTAAACAGATTCAGCTCAGCTAACATCTCCTCATAAGACATTCCTCTAAGACCAGGAATCATTCTTGTAGCCCTATGTTGCACCTTTTCTAAGGCAGCAATGTCCTTCTTAAGGTATGGTGACCAAACCTGATCTGTCCAATCTTCTCAACACCATGTTCCCAGCTGCTGTTCGTGGTCACGCTCATCTCTCATCTACGTGGGTTGAGTTTGACCTTTCGGAATGTTCTCCCTCTCCTTCCAAGCCTCCAACTTTCGGCGTTCTTCCAGAGCTCAAGTGACGGCTGGGTCTCAGAAGAGCCCACTTCAAGGTCACCATGCTCCTCTACACTAAGACATCTCCAGGTCTCTCTGCCCCATGTACCCTCTTCAGTAGGAGTCTGAGCACTGTGAATGCTGCTCTGCAGAAGACAACTGGTTAATTACTTTTATAATGATCACCAGCAGGGGGTGCTATTTCCTAGGACCTGCAGGACTGTGGTTCAATAGCTCTAGGAGAAGAGTTTGACAGTGTGTGACCTGTAATTGAGCAATGCCCAAAATCTGTCATCCTCCTCAGTCTGCATTTCATTAAAAACACACTCCAGGGGGCGCTCTAGCTGCCTCTGGTGGCTCTGTCTTTTCTCTGAGCATTTATTACTCCCTGCTGAGTGTCTTGACCCACATCTGTGCAGAATCCAGAGCTGACGAGCAGAAGAAGAAAGGTGCCATTTTATTTTAAGGTGCTGGGATTAAAAAAAAAGAAGAAAAACAGTAAAACCTGGGATAAATGTGAGAATATAACCAGCCAGCACAGATTCCGGACTCGGGGACTTTGATGAGGTCACTCTGTCACAGGTTATTTTATTGGATCTGGCAGGATGAAGGCAGAAAGTGTCCACAAACTCTCAGGGGCAGCTGGGCCTTCCACACAGACTGCACTACTATTTAGGAAACAGGCAACAGATCTGTGCTTTTGTGTAGATCTATAGAAATTGAGAACTAGGTAGTGAAGCAACTTGCCTTTGTTGAAGCTTTCATACCTCTATTTATGGAGGCCACCTCTTGTCCTTCAATTTCACCCCCTTAAAGGACTGACCCACTGATTGAAGCCCCTCCCTTGCTCCCAATGGGTCCTTGTTCCATGCATGTAAACAGACAACAAATGGGGAGGGTAGTGTCCCCCATGTGATTGATACTGAAGGACCCAATTAGCTTGACAACATGCTAAAATGGTACTTGAATCTCATTCATTGAGTCCAAGCACTACAAGGTAATTATTTAGTCCATTACCAAATCCAATTACGCCCCCCTGCACCCCCACTTGGTCGTGAAATCCCAACTGTATAATTTTCATATGCTTGCAGACTCCCAGATAAACAAACACCCTAATAATACTCATAAGAAAGGCAGGCTTGTCCCTGGTTCATTTGTGGATTAAGATCACTGTATCTGGGCCAAAGTACACAGCGTCGTTTGTAGTTTAATTCATTGATTATATGATTTATCCGTGTGAAGCTTCTGCTTTCATTTGCCGCACTTGTCCCTATATGATGACCTCGTTGGTTTTCTCTTAAAGACTCACGGGATAGGAACGGCTTCGATAGATATACAGGGTCACCTCCAGCGAAGTCATCTGTGTATGGGCAGCCAAGGAGTGAGCTGATACAAGAACATTACTGTAGTGTCATTTTATATTGCCGTCACTTCATCACTATGGCTGTTTCTGTCATATGAATTAATTTTGCATGACCTTCCCTATCCCCCCCCCGCCCCCCCCATTACAAGAGCCTTTGTTTCTGCAGCTTTATCTTCCCAACCTGGTCAGCACTGCCTGCTGGTATGTTGGTCTGGGCATTGATGACCCTCTGAGTTCCAACCTCGATTAAATAAAATTTCACACTCCAACATTCTGCCCTCCCCCACCAAGCTGGCAGTATTAAATGCCTCTTGTCCACTTTTATTATGCCACCTGGTCACATGGAGAATTATTCATCCCTTGCTCCTTTCTGGCAAGGGACATCTTTCCCTCAGTCATTAGTAAATTGTTCTTTATTAAACTGTGTAGCACAGCAAGAGCCCCCATCCCTTCTCGGTGGATGAAATTTCATTTATATGTATGGGATATATATATATATATACACTCATCTAAAGGATTATTAGGAACACCATACTAATACGGTGTTTGACCCCCTTTGGCCTTCAGAACTGCCTTACTTCTACGTGGCATTGATTCAACAAGGTGCTGAAAGCATTCTATAGAAATGTTGGCCCATATTGATAGGATAGCATCTTGCAGTTGATGGAGATTTGTGGGATGCACATCCAGGGCACGAAGCTCCCGTTCCACCACATCCCAAAGATGCTCTATTGGGTTGAGATCTGGTGACTGTGAGGACCATTTTAGTACAGTGAACTCATTGTCATGTTCAAGAAACCAATTTGAAATGATTCGAGCTTTGTGACATGGTGCATTATCCTGCTGGAAGTAGCCATCAGAGGATGGGTACATGGTGGTCATAAAGCGATGGACATGGTCAGAAACAATGCTCAGGTAGGCCGTGGCATTTAAAGATGCCCAATTGGCACTAAGGGGCCTAAAGTGTGCCAAGAAAACATCCCCCACACCATTACACCACCACCACCAGCCTGCACAGTGGTAACAAGGCATGATGGATCCATGTTCTCATTCTGTTTACGCCAAATTCTGACTCTACCATTTGAATGTCTCAACAGAAATCGAGACTCATCAGACCAGGCAACATTTTTCCAGTCTTCAACTGTCCAATTTTGGTGAGCTCGTGCAAATTGTAGCCTCTTTTTCCTATTTGTAGTGGAGATGAGTGGTACCCGGTGGGGTCTTCTGCTGTTGTAGCCCATCCGCCTCAAGGTTGTGCGTGTTGTGGCTTCACAAATGCTTTGCTGCATACCTCGGTTGTAACGAGTGGTTATTTCAGTCAAAGTTGCTCTTCTATCAGCTTGAATCAGTCGGCCCATTCTCCTCTGACCTCTAGCATCAACAAGGCATTTTCGCCCACAGGACTGCCGCATACTGGATGTTTTTCCCTTTGCACACCATTCTTTGTAAACCCTAGAAATGGTTGTGCGTGAAAATCCCAGTAACTGAGCAGATTGTGAAATACTCAGACCGGCCCGTCTGGCACCAACAACCATGCCACGCTCAAAATTGCTTAAATCACCTTTCTTTCCCATTCTGACATTCAGTTTGGAGTTCAGGAGATTGTCTTGACCAGGACCACACCCCTAAATGCATTGAAGCAACTGCCATGTGATTGGTTGATTAGATAATTGCATTAATGAGAAATTGAACAGGTGTTCCTAATAATCCTTTAGGTGAGTGTATATTAATTTGAGTTTGAGACCCCTTCATTAAATGGAATCTCCAGTTTCCATCAGTAGTGAAAGATATGCAAAAAGCAACCAGTCAGGGTCCTGATAATTTTCTGTCTCACATCCTGCTGTCTGCAGTTCCTCACAGGCCGATGCCGCACGGGCACGGCGTGAATCATCACCGCGCTCCATGTCCTCAGTCCAGGAATGTGCTCTGACTGCTGACTTCCACACACGCTCACTCTTTCTTTCTCTGTATCTCTGCCTGACACAGCTTTATATCCATTTTCGAGCATGACACCCATGAAATGAAGTGTTTATTCACGAGATTCGGCACTCGAAAGCTTTTAAAAACATTCCCTCCGGTCGTTGAACTGCAGGGGCACAGACGAGCAGCTTGTGTGGAGCAGGGGTCACCTTCAGTCCCGATTCCGAGACTGGAACTGCAACAGCCCTCTCGAGCGTCATTTGTCCACCGGTTGGAGCATTACTGCGTAGTGAAGCCTGAGCCACAACACGGTGACATGGGAAACTGTGTCTGTGCGTGGGGGGTGGAGTGGGAAGGGCCGGGCCTGGGAGTGCCAGGTTCATCACCGGGTCTGTGACAGAACCAGCAACTGAGGAGCCCAGATGTAGGATGTTCAGATCCAGAACATACCCAGCATGCACTGCTCACATGCAGATTTACACAGCTGGCTTAGTTAGCAGCACTTTTATGGATCAGGGGTGAGTTTCCCGAAGCGTTCTTAACGCTACGTCGTTCATAGGTTCTGTGTTAAAAGATAGAACTAGCAAACGACGTAGCGTTAACTCACCCCAGGTCTGTTTATGGATCAGACGCCGTCACTCTGCCACGATTAGGGAAAAGTCCACCTGCATGAATATGTTCCTGCATTACCACTCCTGTGACACCAGGGGGGTGTGAATGTGTGACTCCATGGGAATCGCCCTTGGGACACATTCAGCCAGGCGATTAAATTAGCTTG